TCCCTTTTGTATTTCTGATGTCACTTATAAAATCCCGATAGTATAAAATCTTGATACATCAAAAATAAATGTGTATATAACACAGAAAATCGGTTATAAACAAAATAAAATAAAAAAAAATTTTTAAAGTAAAACTTTTTCGAAAACGGTCATAATATTTCGGTGATTGGTTAATCCCTTTAAATCATGTCATGTCTTTCGGGATTCACAAACAACCGATTAATATTACAGAAAGTCAGCTATAATGTAATAATATTAAAACTAATTTCAAAAACTTGTATAAAATGTAAAATTCCATATTCCCTTTCAAAAATGTTCCATGTACAGTGGTTTTAGTTTTAAACTGCCGTCTACCGATAATTTCGGGATCCATAAATAAGGCATTTATTTTTCATAAAGTCAGTTATGACAAAACAAATTTCAAAGTTTTGTAAAAGACATGCGTTGATATTTCTTATTTCAGCATTCATTATTAAAATTCCAACTTCGTACAAATTTCGGGATCCACAATTAGTTTATTGACGTCAAAAAGAACCAGACATTCCTGCTTACACTTGTAATATTCTAACACGCAAATGCTAATTAAAGGCACCTAGTTTTGAAAGAAAACTATCAGTTTTATAAAAAAATTGCAAAACTGCGAGTCCCGAAAAACAAGTTTTCAAGTTGGGATATCCTGATTTTTTTTTTGTTACAAAAGCGCTTAATAGTTAGTAAACTCGGGTTTTGTTGCTGTTCTTTCAACGATCCCGAAAAGAAAATCGGGATCCCGAAATTGGAATTTTAACTTTTAAATTTATACAGAATAGTGGCATAATTTACGTTTCGACTATTAAAACAATCCTCAAAAAATCGGGATCCCCAATGCATATTTTCCATTTCGACAGTTAAGTTGTTGATCTTTTAATACGTGCTGAATACATATGTACGTACATTTTATTAGGCTGTTTGCCACCGGCAAGTAAATCGCGAAAGTAAAATATAAAATAAAATATGACTACAAAAAATATTGTATTCTTCTCGGTTACAGCAATTATATTTGTTTCTGTTTTTATGTTTGGTCCTCTCTTTGCATTCCAACAGGCGTTACAAACAGCGAGACATGACAAGAATCACGATTTTTAATGCAGCATCTAATAAAACAATAACAACAATTGCAACTATAAATAATTGCCACAACTAAAATACCATCCAGAAAAATAGTTGAAGTTAACTAATTGCAAATAGGACTGGAAGAATGACAAAACAAAATTTAGCAGCAAAAATTATAGATTTTTTTAAGAGAGCGAAAGATTGAGAAAACAAGTCAGTGAACAGAAAGACACATTTTTTAACACTTGTTAATTTAACAAAACTTGGCAAGAAAAAGAGTAATAATATGAGGAACAGAGAACGAGAGTAAATAAGATGTTTAAGGCGAAAATTCTAGATGATACGAAATGACACAGAAAAGTTTTAGCCAAAATAAATATTCAGTAATTTTTCTTGAAATACAAGAGCACACTTGGGGAGAATTTTAAGAAAGAGAGATGGTGTTTATTACAATATATTATTTATTGTAAACATTTCTTACCTTATATAAATCTTTATCTAATAAACCAGCTAAGAATTACAAAAAAAAAATTAAACAAATTAAAACAAAAGCTTAAAAGATAATGAACCAGAAATATGATATTGTTAGCCAGTTCAAAGTAAGAAAAGAAAAGAGGATTTTGTTGTTATTATTATTATTTTTTTTGAGTATAGAGAAGAACTTAGAATTTGGAGTTAACAGAAGCTTTCGAAGCGACAAAACGATTACTACGACGTTGCAAACTCGTTCAAATTATTTAAGTGGGTGCCTTACAGAGAAAATAAGATCAAGTAAGTCTGCTATGGGAATGATGATAAGATAATTTTGGGAAACAAAAATGCATTTATAAGCTCCTTTGACTTTTTTGATTTGATCATTTGCAAAAAACTTCACATACAGAAGCAAGCCAAGAGTTAAGTTAGTTAGAGAAGCTTGCGATTTTCAAATGTAAGTATTTGCACACAAGTGTAATTAGTAATTATTATAATATGCGCGATGCAACTAATATGTTTTCTTCTTGCACTCAATTTTGCATTGCTGCTTTTATTTTTTTAGCGGCACTTGAGTGTCTTCAACTCCTTTAATTCCGTTTTTATTACACAACAACTCCTTTGGGTAATCAATTGACTCTCAAACTGCCTAGTAATTTTCAGCTGTCCCACATGAAAGCCGCTGCCATGATTCATGTGTGTGTAGATATATTTGCAAAGAGTATTTATAAATTCAACCTACCGGGTACTTCAGCTAATAAAATATTTATGTATTTGTTTTAGTATTGCAGGTGAATCATTGGGAATTTTGAGGGAAAAAATATGAAGCAATTAATTAAGAAGCTATTACTAGGCGTAAGCAGAGTGAAGCAGGCGGTAAAAAGTAAAAAAAAAATATAAAATAAAAAATACAGAACAATAACCTTGAGATATATTTCTTGAGCCATTGCTAGATGCTAAGCGGAGTATCTTCTCTTGCTTGCGGTAAGTGTTTTGATTTTTTTCGCCAAATTGAAGTTCTTATAAGTTTAAGACGCATTTGAATTACTGGTGAATCTTAAGGATAAAAAATTTATTGGTTGGTTGTTTTAACTGCCGAAGAGTGAACGTCGTTATGAGGGGAACCGTGAAAAGACAAAATGCGCCTTTAGCCGCAAGCTAACAAATAGCTTGTGCGGGTAACTGTGATCTTCAAATTCGATCTTATATTTATTCAAGCTTGAAAAAGAATCGATTTCCATCATTCCAATTATGTAAACAGGTTGAAGCTTCTTTTCTAAGGTACTGTCTATGGTTGGATCTTCAATGTCCTACAGATGTCTTATATATATTTGCTTGATATCTCGATTATACTAAATAACACAGTATGTGTAGAGTGGATTTATCAATAAAGCCTTGTGCTAAGCCCAGTTGTACACTTTTCTAGTTTGCATATATACTTCTTCTTTTCGGTCGGGGAAGTCAGCAGATAACAATGAAGTAAGAAGAGAAGAGAGGAATACAATAGTTTTTTTCCTACGAGAACACATGTACTCTTCTACTCTATTCAATATTTGGTTTGTCAGGAAGGTTTACGATTAGCTTCTCTTTGCAACCTAACTTCCGTAGAAAACAATCTGACTTTTTACTTAATCTTGCTTTGAACATGCTGAACAGCTTGCTGCCGCAAATTGCTTCCGGCTACAATCCGATAGCTGGCTACTTATGTGCTTCATTTGGATCTGACTTAAGACCATGTTAATATCGAGTGCTGTCTTTATGAAGGTGTCATCTATTGTACTCCCCTCTAACGTAAAAATTCCAGATCACCAGGATCCAGATCATCTAATCTATTCTTATGATCTTTGGTACTAAAGTTAGATCCTAAATTATTAATCTCAAAAAATATACCAACTAATCGAATTTGACCCAGACTGATCCATCCGCGCAAACTTAAAATGTTTGCTAGATTGGTACAACTTTTTGTTCGTGTGAAGTTTGGGCTCTCTATGTCAATAAGTGTGTGTTAGACAGCTGTTTACGACGCCAAAAGTTTGTCTGGCGACTAGACTTACAACGAGTTTGCTAAAAATTTTGTGTTCTCAATGGAATCACGGTTAAAAAATCGTTTAAATTGTGCAGAAGTGTTTTGGGGAGTATACAACATCACGAACACAAGTATTTGAGTGGCACAAAGTAAAGATCCTGAAGTCATTAAAAACTTGCCTCATGCGAGTGGTCCCTCCACCTCCCTTAATGACGATAACATCGAAGTAGTCAAAGAAACAGTGCTTGATAGCAGAGTAATCGATCTTACTAACAACACATTTTGGCTAATATTTTAGTAAGAAGCGTGTCAAAGCTAGACTCCTACCAAACGCCCCGAATCTCTTTCGAAAACGACGTCTAGTAGGTGTCGCAAGAGATACTTGACAATGTAGCTGAGGACTCTAGATTCATCAAACGCATCATTACTGGTGACAAGGCATGGCTTTATGTATATGATGTCGAAACAATTCAACTATCTAGCGAGTGGCGCTACAAAGATAAGCAAAAACCGAAAAAATAAAGATTCATAGAAGATCATCCCAGCCAAAGCTTACCACATAACAAGTGTATGGAAAATTGCATTCAGCGCCGGTATGCTTTTATTGGCTCAGGAGCCTATTTTGAATTAGATGGTAGTACAGTTAATCTCAAGATATAATTAGTAGACTTAAAACTATTTCGAAATCCTAATTAGAGGTTAATAAGATTTTATAAAGGTAGTTAGAATCTTCAACCTGCAGTGTTCAAAGATTGATATTAAAACAAAATTATATACTGTTTCAAATATATGCTTTACCGGTCTAAGAGTTTCTTATAAAAAGTATTATATAATAAAATTATATATATTTTGGGTTCATTTAAACTTAAAAATTTAAAATTTGAAAAAAAAACACTTGGCTCTGCATATATCAGCCAATATATTGTATCTTATATAGATAATATTGAAGAATGCGCCAAGAAAGAAACACAATTTCCTTGTACTGACCTTTCTTAAGGTTTCTCAAGTTATGTTCAAGTCAAAACGTTAATTTATTAACTATAATAAAAGCTTAAATATGTTTTTGTTAATATTTAACAGTTACTTTTATTGCGGATTATTGAATTTTGTTCTTTTATAGTTAGACTTTGCATATGAAATTCGTTCACACGCTTAAAGCTTAATAGCTCTAAGCTGGCGTGCGTTCTTTCATTTTTAAATACCATTTAGTTTCACTAAAAATATTTGAAAATAATAATAAAATATATATAATCTGCGATTAATGTCCCAAATGTAGATATGTTTATGTACATAAAGTCACAAAATCAGCAAGAAGTCAAATTGCTCGCCATTAATCATTAAACTCAATAACAAAATATATGTTTTTTCTCTTTAAAATTAATAGCAGTCAATGAAAGAGATTAGCACCTACCTGTTTTCTATAGCGTAGCTGATTTCTGCTCTTAAAGCTGCTTTACTTTTTTGTTTTTGTTACGCCTACTGCTGAAGCGTGTGGTAAAGCTAGTTGTGTGTTTTTTACGGAAAGTAAATATGTAAATTTACGCGACGTTTTAATAGTTGTTTGTAGCAATTAAAATATTTAATTTTTTAACTGCTGCTTCTTCTTTCAAGCTTTTGAATGGTTATATTATTTTCTTCTAGTTCTAATTATAATATTCCTTTGCGTTGGTGGCACAAAAATGCTGTAAAGATAAGCAGACATGAATTTGAGTTTTTAAAAAAATTTAAAAAAATAAAATTTTTAAATAAAATAAAAATGTAAAAAAACATAAACATGCAATATAAATCAGTAAAACCAGCAGCAAACAATTAAATATGCAAATACAAAGAACATCGGCTATTTGCTTGCACTGTTTGAAAAGTATACGAATAAACTAACTTTGGAGACTTTTGAATATTTTCAGTTTTTCAAATACTATGTGAGTAAACGAAGATAATAAAGTTGAAACTATAAGATGATAAGAGATCAAGATAAGAAAAAGAAAGAAATTATTAGAAGACCTGATAAGATAAAAATTATCTGAAGTAACTTAAGAATTTAGACGTGATATCCTATTATACCGACTTTCTTTATTTTCACTGTTATTATTAAGTATGTATTAGAGAACAGCTCTGTAAAATTATGTGCTCTTAGCTTTTTTATTTAAGGCAGGCAACTGGAAAATAAAATAACAAAATAATCGATTGTATTGGAGATATGTGATATTGTTGTCCAATCTGGCCGTTTCCAACAAATGATCAATAAAATCTTAAAATGCAGCTATGTATAAAATTTCATTCAGATAGCTCAAAAACTGACGAACTGACCACGAATAATTAAATTTCACCTAAAATATCGCTGACTCGAACCCCATTTGAGACCCATATTATCTTGGGCAAAGTTGTTCAGAGTGAACCATAGAATATTTGCCGCATAAGCGGTTATTCCATATATTTTTTTGGCTTCCAGTAAATCAACCCGCTCTAATGTACATACTTTAACCCTATTAGGGAATCGGGTCACTCCCACTTTTTATGAACTTTTGAGTCTGCAGTTGCCCCTCCTGTACTAAGTTACAGTTTTGTAACTTAATTCATGGCTTAGTTAATGCACTTTAATGGCATTTTGTGGGAGTGACCATGTTCCGATTCCGGCCATCTGAAAAACCAACCTTTCTGGGCACCAAGCCTCACCAAAACATCTCACCTTTTGCTTAAGTTATTGCAGACATTCAATCAGAATTTAACTGGTCTAGATTAGTTTTACGTGTTACAAACAAACATTAGGTGTACAAAACTATTATACACGGTTGCAACATGTTGTGAGTGTATACTAATTTCGACTAAATCATAGATAAAGGGAGAAAATTTCATTTAACCAGAGAACCTAGGCAATGAATGAAGTTCAAGGGGACAAATAATATAATAACTACAAAAACAAGTGTGAAAACAAAATTGATTGACAAGCTGAGATATCTACATATTATGAGAAGAGAGCTATGTTAGTGTCTTATACTTAGTATAATCAAGATATTTGGTCTATATCTTAAGTTTTAAATCTATGTGTCATGCGGTGTATTTTCAGCACTGGATTCTACTTCGAATCATCTAAGATGCGAATCACACTATAACAACATGCTGATAGTAAGTAATTATTGGTGCCGCACTAGTGCCACATTTTCAACGGTCTAGGACAAAAAAGAACAACGGAAATTTTCAATGTAGGCCTAGATCATGAGCTTATGTACAAGGATTCTGAAGGTAAGATCTGTTGAGAGCTCCATTTGAGGTTATGTCAAAAATATATAGTATAGTATATTGATAAGTCAATAAATAAAATAAGAAAATGAAATATATATAGAAATTTGAGGAAATGACAAAAAAAGCAAAAAATAAAGCGCAGTTACTGCTCATTTACTGTTATCAATCACTGTCAGTGAGCGTTGAAAAGACTCATTCACATATCTTAGCCGTATGAAAGTGCAATTTGCAGTACAACCGACAACACGCCCATGTCAGCAACGGACAAGGCATATCAATGTCAACAACAACAACAACAACCAAACTACTTAAAATGCACACAAAGTCATCATTAAGTAGCGATGGTCGAGGTCAAATGTGTCTTTTTGCTGTTGTTATTGCTTTGCGTACTTTTGTTGTTGCCACACAACTTCGCACTAAAAGAAAGCGCAGCTCTAGCGAAGACGGCAGTGAAATCATCAACACTGGCAGATGTTTAAGGAGACGGCGCGCACAGAACGGCGTGGCGTGGGGTGCACACCTCGCTGTTGTTATTGTTGTCAGAAAGAAAGTGCGCATGGAGCCGAAAAGACCAAGGCCAAGCGGGGTTTTCTTTGCAATTCTTCTACATCAATGTAAATATGTGTGCGTGTAGCGGCAGCAGACAATTGACGCATTTGCTTGCTGATTACACAGTGTTGTTGTTGTTGTGCTTACTTGTTGTTGCATTTGCATTTTTCTAAACAGCCGACACGCAATGCATTTTAAGCATTTTAGCACTGACACCTACTTTTCAAAAATCTGTCTTTGTGTACTTACAGTGAAGCCTCAATGAGAGTACTGGATTAAATATAACCGTAGTAAAGCAACAAGAGAGTTGTGAGAGTAATTCAGCGACATTGCTAATTGACGCCTACAAAATGATCGAAGAGTTAAAGAAACATGAATTGCTAAACTTTGAGACCTAGAAAGAGAATTATTTCAATATTTAGGAATAATGTCAGTCTGATGAAAATGTAATTGGTTCACTTTAAAATCCAGAAAGATAGTGAAAACTATTAAGGAATACTAACAGCTGAGGTCCCAGTAACCTCGCTTAGAAATGAGAAGAACTCATAGTCTGGCAAAAGTAGAATTTGTCCACTTTGGGATCCAGAAAGAGAGCGAACACTAATTCAATATTCAGCAAAACCTGAGGCCCCACAGTATAAAATTTGGAAGAATTCATGGTCTGGTGAAAATGTCATCATTAAGAATTCGTAGGGCCTTCGAGCAACATTATATTAAACTCTCTCTCTCTCTTTAGAGACGCAAAGATCAGGAGATCAGTTCTTTTTTCCTGAATAATATTAAAAGCAAAAAATAAACTTAGACTTTCAACACAGTTTTATTCTGTGTGTAATTACTGCGACTAAGAATATTTCAGGGCAGCACAATGGGTCTAAGGCAGCGTAAGCGTGACCCCTTATGGTCAGGCGTTCAATTTTCAATCAACCATCCAACCACGTGGAGCAACATGCAAATTAGGTGCTTACACCTTCTGGAATCACTACTAAGCAATCGGAGCTTTGTTAAGGCAATAAATAACTGGTTATCAAAAAAAAAGCTGAGAGAAAAGTTACTGCCTGAGGGAATAATAATAATCTTCACGCAAAGAAGAGCGACCGTTACTTGCAAGGGGGAAAACTTGTAATGTTGGTTTCGCTGATGAGTAAAGCTGCTCGAATATATCTCAAAATAGTACTATTACAAAGAGCCTTCAGAATCAATGCGAATTTCTAAATTCATTAACATTTTGGCAATTAAAATGCAGAACGCCCTCTTTTTAAACCGGACAAGCAAGAGACATAAATCTCGTAAATAAGAAATTTGATCTTTAGCCGTTTATGGTAAAATAGAATAGAATTAGAAAGAGTTGAAGTAAAGAGGAGCAGAGCTATTAATACCGATATACTACTATAAGATGAACTTTTAAGGACTTGGCATAAGACCATACCCCAAAGGCTTTACGCTGCCAACGTGCCAGTTATTTGTCATACCCTCATAAATCTCTCTGATTTTCGGTTACATGGACTTAATTGCGGTGAGAACAAACTTATCAACTAAGCTTCTGCAAAATATAGTGAAACCAGCAGTCAAAACCAAGTTAAGCATGGCCATTTTCCAAAGAAAGTATTAAAAAAATAATCTTAAAGAAAAACATGTTTAAAATTTTGGTTTTTTAAAAGTAACATTTAAAATGTTTAAGCTGGATTGTATCTGATAGCAGTTTGGGGATTTTTGAACTGATACATTTTCCTTTACTTCCTAAGAAACTATATCTATAAAAACTGAGGTACCTGAAATCCCTGAAAAAAGCATAAATGAGAAACAGCTGACAGATCCTTCGAATATTGAATGAGGATTCAGATAAGTAACCTCTCAAACTATCTTGGATGTTAACTAGAGGCAACGGATCTAAACCAGTCTAATAAAGCTAATAAAACTGGCTTGTTCATTTCAAGTTAGACAACAAAAAAATGTTAATACCCTTTACAAATACATAACATTCCCTATAAAAACTGCGCAAAATATCTGATCATTTATATGTAAACTTTAAAGGATCTCCAAAGTTTTCCTCTGGGTGTTACAACCTTCATGCCAACTTAATTCAGCATATAAAAATGTTGCGAAAGTTTATCATCCATTTGTTTCGATTACAATCATATTCAGTATCTTATTAACTGATATTATCGGTCACCGGCTCACTTAATTTTGATACTTTATTTTCTTTCGGGTCAGCGATAATTTTATTAAAATCCGCCCTCAAATGAGATATAGGTAGTATAAACTCAACCAAAGAGGCTACATTTAATACTTGGGTTGATAAGGAAAACGTTATATTAGGTATGTGAGGTTTGGACCAATTCTTTTAAAATTCAACGCTAAACTACATAACTTGCAAGAAAGCTATTGTGCATAAAGTCTGCTTGAATAACGAGACTCATTATATGTATGTACAAGTATATAGTATATATTATCTGGGATTATTCGTGGGCCAATTTCACACCTTTTCGGCACTAAACTGTAGTATTATAAGTTCACTTAATTTTATTAAGATATTTAATACATGGACTGACATACACGGTATAAAGCTAACAGGAAGTTTGTAATTCTTATAGGGACTACGAATAGTATTAAACGAGAATATCCACTTTCGGCATAAGAATATACTGTTATTCTATCTTAAAGTACATCACATATTTGCAGATTTAATGGTATAAAGTCAACCTGAAACTAAAATCCAAACCTAGAACTAAAGATAGATAAATTACCCGCTTTTACCCATTTTCGGCGATAAGGACACATTATAACCATTTAAAGACATTGTCAAAGTTTAATATTTACATCCCACAGCTTGACCGTTTTTATAAAAGAAAGCTACGCCAAACACAGCGCAAGAGTAGCCGATGTCCAATGGAAG